AGAACAGCCTGGAAATAAGGTACCGGTCACTTACATTGTCAGGCACAATCCCCCTTGCGTCTGTTATTTGGTATGGCATTGATACGTATTTTTTCCGTTTTTTATTGCAATTATTAAATACATCTCTGGTGCAAAATACAAAATGATATGTACATGTACTACATGTAGTTCAGTAGTTCCTGACAATACATTTCAGGTACAACGGTTCAAAAATGATGTGCAATTAAAACAATACTTAGACTACATTTGTACAATGACACTTCCCAATTCCAAAAACTCCTTTCGCTTACATTGTAGTACTGTACACATGTCCTTTTGAATAGGTTACTAAAATTTTAATTTCAAGTTCCTGACACTACTTTATTTGAAAGATTTCATAGTAAATGTGTTGTTTCCAGACAGGCTTTTTGGAATATCGGCATCTGAAAAATGGGGTTCATTTGAACTTGATACATGTACAAGCCATCACATTCTTCACAATGGTCTTTTTTACACTTAGATGTGCTTAATAACAGAATAACAAGTCTTTACTTTAAGACAGTACATATTTTTTACTTTTGAAATATATGTGAACTGTGTGGCTTGTTGTGCCTTTAATATAAATATTTCTTTATTAATGTTTACATTAAGACAGTAGGCCTACATGTACATATTTCTGAGTTCAGAAAAAATGATTTGTGAACTATGTGGCATGTTGTGCCTTTAATATAAATATTTCTATAAGGTGAATGTATAATAAATAATTAGATTTAGCTTACATAAAAGTACTCTCTATATTTTTTATCTATTGTTTATTTGGGTATTATTTAATATTTACATACCGGTACTGTACTTTACACATTCTATATTTCACCAAGAATACAATTTCAACACACACCCAATTACTTCAGATTTTTAGATGGAAAAATAACAACCAGCTTTTATCATAGAAGAAATGTCAACATCAACAAACTGGATAAACTTTATATTACACTGAAAGCAATAATCAAATCTTTGTTTCTCTGGCAATATTACTGTGAACATGAAACCGGCAGTAATTAGAGCTCCCGAACTAAATAAACAGCCATTACCACGCTTTATCCCCGGATTGAAAACCATTGTATATAGTAATATTTACTGGTAACAAGCAAATATGAAAGGCTTTTATTCTGGCATGCCCATTGAACAATGACTGTCTACTGAAATGAGATGCTGTATTTCATTAGATAAAGTCTTTCTATGGAACTCAACGCATCTGGCATTTACAATAGCGTCATGTGTAAACAAAAATAACAATCAGCAAATACATGTGTCAATCATCTAAATGGAAATCTTAATATAAAAATGTCCACGAAGCAAACAATATCTAAACTTTATCAAAGTATGGATATTGACAATTTAAAACTCCTGGTCTAAAAATAACAGATATTAAGCAAACTAACAAAATTAATATAGTTCGCTCTACAACTAGATGTACATAATAACAATTCTACGTTTATCTGTCAACGGTCAAAGTTACTTGAAGAAAATAATGAGGCTGAGCCAGACTTTCTAAAATAAATAAACAAAGTTGGGATGAAAACCCATCTGCTACACTGACTTGAGTACATTTAATACATAGTCTTGTGTGTTCAGTTTAAAATAATAAATAGCCAGTATAAACAGGCTGGGAGAACAGAGCTAAATGCACACTTCAATAAATAACTGTACTCAAACCTAAAATTAAGTCTGATATAGAAAAGAAGGTCGGAGTTTGGTAGGCAACAAAGTTATTGTTGTCTCTTGGGCACTTTTTGAGAAAATGTTGCCAATGTCTTGTCAACACAATACTTGTATGTTAGGTGCGCAATGTGATGAGAAGAATATTGCCATGAGAGCAGCTTCTCCATCTCCTTATCTTCTTCAAATTCCAAATTAGGAGTTCCTTTACCCAAATTGCACAAATAAGGAAGTTGTGTTTTTTCATTATGTAATACCGGTATCTCTTTAAAGATGCATTATGTAAGATCTAGATAAAGATATTTAAAAATACCCAGATAAAGAGCTGGTCATTCTTGCTATAGTAGTTCAAAACAGATAATGAAAAATGAATATATTGAAATTTCATTCAGATTACTTTATTCTGAGCTAAGTTACATATATGAGTGTTTGATGTTTTGACAAAAATAGCAGATTGTCAATGTCATACCATTGCCATGATAATAAACAATGTCTCTGTTGTCAGTCCTTTCATTGCGTGGATGGTTTAATCCATTCAATATCTCAGTCATCTGATGTTCTAGAGAGTTGAATATGGGTTTGTCATGTGAATAAATATTTAAATAATAATTAATATAACATTTGAAGCCAGAAAAATGACCTTCACTAGTTAAGATTTAGCTCTTGCCTAATGCTTCTTTAAATGAATGAATGATATGTACATGTATAAAGTAATAACTGACACACAAAAAGAATGATGTAATTCAATTTGGTGTGTAGTCAATGTTTTTGGAAGATTTTTCTAAAATGGAATACTTGTACATATAGGTGTAAAAGCTTTTAAAGTACCTTCCAGGGCTAAAGAATTGATCATCCAGTATTTTATTTTGCACTAATATCTTAAACATGCATTATGCAAGAGCTAAATCTGCCTATTGCTGGTCTTTCTTTAGGCCTGAAATGTTTTCTAAAGTATTAATTAGACATTAATTAACTGATCCAGGCCTTAATCAACTCTCGATGGCATCAGATTTCTCCGATATTAAATAGATTAGAATGGTTCAGCGATACTTTGATTTAATCAAATATAGAGGACCGAGAAATAGCTTCGATCAACCAGTATGGTGGTTGAAATTATTGCACACGTCTGTCAAACCTTCAAAGGCTAATATCTTTGCTTGCAATAGAGTAATTTGAATGGAACTTTCTTATTATTTATTTTACATCACCTACTTTCGAACTATTATAGCAAGAATTGCTAGTTCTTTATCTAAATCTTACATAATGTATCTTTAAACAAACCTTGCCCCTAAGAACATGCTTGAAAGGCAAGATTGTATATATCAATTATGTTCTGAAAGTGAGAGTTCTATGAATAGATTTGTAAACTGCCATAATTTAACACAAACTGTAACCCTGTATATTAATACAGACCATTTAATTGGTCTACAAGTCTTTGTGATCTGCTCTGAAAACCAGCTACAAAGAAAAAAACTGTCAAGTAGGGTACATGTGTCAATAGCAATAAAATGAAACATAATTGGCAATTTGATTATGATTTTAATCAGATTGATTGGTAATTTTTTCTATTAGTAATGTAGATAATGGTTATTTGTGATGTAGAAATTGGTACTTTGGCAACAAATCCAACACTAAATCCATTGCCCAAAGAGCACAATATCAATAAAGTATCATCCCATATAACAATTACAGGTACAGTCAAATTTAGATCACTTATAAGTTGACTGTCTTTTGGTGGTCATAGAAAGTAAACTTTGGCCGGATTTTCATTCCATTTCAAACTGTGATACTACTATATGAACTATAAAAATACTTGTAATATAAATGTTAGGCGGTGAACAAAATTTTGAGGGCTTTAAGCAAGACATTTAAAAACATTTTCATATTTCATATTCTCTAATTTTCATTGTTTCAATTTCTAACTATCAAGAAATCTGATCCAAAAGTCAAATATTAACCTTTCATGAGCATAAAAAACTGTTATCATGGCATTCAAGATGCATTATGTAAGATTTTGATAAAGAGCTGTCCATTCTTGCTATAAAAGTTCAAAAATAGATAATGAAAATTAAATATAATGAAAATTTCATTCAATTTACTTAATGTTAATGAAAGTCTAAATGGTAGTTTACATAACATTTGAAGCCAAAATAAAGACGTGCAAAAGGCAGATTTAGCTCTTTCCTAATGCACTTTAAATGTTCTAAGTTGAGATGCAGCACCCTTACATGTACATGTACGTGCAGGTCAATATAACCATATTTACTGTTAAAAGAATAAATAATGTACAACTGATTGAAAGAAAAGCAAATCGTCCATTTTATTTGACAAAAAATTGTTATAACAGTTAAAAATATTTCAAAAATAAACAGTTCAATGAGGTGTTTTCCAGTTTTAAAAATACATGTTGCTAACCCATTTGGACAACATGTAACATACAGTTACTGAGGAGAGAACTTTGCCTACAGTATATTGTTACATTTAGGTATACATGTAAGTAAGTAAGTCAAATTGCCAAAAAGGGATCTTTGATGTGCACTACCAATTTGCACATTGTGTATTTGTTATTATAGCAAACTGACAGACATTAAACAAAATAATCTTGAAAATTCTGAAATTTCTTCTTCAAACCTGTGCAGGACTCATTTTAGTCCAATGACCATCAAGGAGCAAGACTATATTATTCATTGTCCCATGTCCACTCCATGATAAGAATAAGATAATGTAACCATTTAATCCATATCCATGTATATAATATGTATTCAAATTGAATTTACACATTATTCTTCCGGCAATAAGTATTAATAATAAATCAATAATTAAAATATCGAAACTATTTAAATTTTGAAAAAAAAAATAAATTAAAAGTCATAATATTATTGTTTTGGTAACTAGAAATTGACCCTTCTTGTCTCAGTAATATGCAATCTAAATAACAAAAAAATATATATTTTTTAAAACTTGTACTCATCAACAAGTAAACAGTTTTAACGTGATCATAAATACTAATACTGCTTGGCAATACATTAATATTCATAGAATTAGTCAATATGTGCCAATATGATGATTTTGTTTATGAATAAAGCAGTAATGGCTGCCAAACAAAATCAACAATTTGTGTACATTGTTTAGAACATTGTTGCAATCGATATTACTTTGATAATGCCGCTGTTCCATTTCACGCACTTGCCGTGTCCTTTGTCGGCTTTTACTCGTCATGACCAGATTAACTCATTATTCGGTCATCTTCAAATTCCCCCCGCTTATGCTGTGTAAGTAAAGGCAAAGACAGCGGAGCGGGTTCATCGAGGACGGATCATTTCCTATGCAAATTGTTTACTGCCTTGTGAGATGTAAGAAAACAGCGATAACAGCAAAATCGTTCCGCTTTAAACAAAACAATTCAACTGACACGGACAGCACCATTAAGCAATAAGAATAAAAACAGTTAAACGGAAGAGAGAAGTAGGTAATTTCGTGTATCTTACCTCATGTGACAGTTGCCACGAACCAAAGCCAACGGTAATCAGTGAAATTTTCTAGCTTGAAAGACAACACACTAGGGACGCATCCCTGTCGTAAATAAAAATATATCACTCCGCGATTATCGGTTCTCAGAATATTTCGGTGTTTCTGCACGCGCGATTGTCGTTAGTGTAATATTTTGAACTTTTCGATGGAATTGTATTATCTATATAATAATATGAACCTGAATCTACAGCAGATGTCAATTATAAATGCCCTATTTTGTTGCCCGCGTAAGGATACTTTGTTGTTCTAATATGTTATCGGGTTAACCATAGTGACGTCACGAGCACCTGCTGTGTAAACAGAAAATAACAAACAATGAAAGATAGCACATAATTCTTGTCCTACCCTTCTAATGATAACTCATTTTCTCCACAGTGCGAAATTAAATAGTAAGCCATATCCTATGTAGCCAATAAACACAATAATTTCTAGAGAAAGACAAAACCGGTAGCAATTACAAGTCTATTTTCTGAAGGATTTTTCGGTAAGGATTAATATTTTAAATGGAACTTGGAAGCTTTTCTTTACACTGACAGTGACAACACGTAAATTATTTAGATGAGGATTTATTTTTCATTTCTTTCGAGCAGATTTATATGAACAAATGGCTTCTGATTTTACGCACTTCGCAAATATCTACACATTAAAATCGGACTTCAAAACTGAGTGTCCAAAAGGCGCAGCAGAAATATAGCAGACGATAAAATTTAAAGGCCCGATAAACTAGATCAACCGTTAGGGGGCGCTCATCAAAATATGCCATTTGTCCTTCCGGCTCCCAGCTGATTTTCGAGATTCATCGCACCGGTTTTCAATCATTATTCTGAAACAAGCGATATTTGGGTTGACAAAATCGGGTAATATTGTCTCTATCCCGATCAAGCAATGTCTGACGATAGCGTCAAACAAGAACACAAACGACTTGCAGGCGTAGTGAAAGGAGTTCATGCTAATTTAAGGAAAAAGTTGAGATCAAGTAAGTGAAAATATAACGGAACATCGGAAGATACGGCGAATGACAGATGACATCAGATCTAATTATAGAAACAGATTTTTCGTTAACGCTGCCACACGCAAATATAAATCAAACTTTACTTTATTTCGCCATTTAGAGTTGGATATGCACATTCTTGGTGGAATTAGACCATATAATTACAACCAATATATAGGAACCCTTTATGACATTATGTGACGAATTGCAGGAAACAGTCTACTGGTGACTGCAGGTCAAATCTCAACAAATGCGATACATATCATGCAGGTTGTTATTAAACAAAGAAAGTAGATATAAAATACTTTAATCCCTCATTGGTGCAAAGCCTGTTGACATTCATCTCATTGCATTTTATGAGGCATATATAGTGATGGGCAGGATGATAATACATGAAACGAAAAATGAAATGGTGTTTAACATTGTTCTAAAAATTGTGTAAATTCACTGAACCCATGTGAAAATAGTACAAATGCTTGCAAGGGTCCCTGGCCGAAATGTCAGTGAAAGGGGGCATAGTCTGGTCATTGTCTATCGCACTCCACTCATTATGCAATTTGTTTATCAGTATGCCTGCTGGTTAGCTTAGCGTAGCTGCAAACATTTTATGTAGCAGCCCAGTCAGCCTCACCTTAATCTCCCTCTGAACAAATCTAATGATTGATTGTTTGTAAATTAGCAGTGGTGTTGCTAGGATTTTCCAGACTGAAGGCTGGCGACTCCCACAGAATGTTAACACAGTTTTTAACGGAATACATGTTTTGGATATGTCCTCGATTACATGTCATTTCGGTTCCACGTCATTTTGTACTTAGACATTTCAGACTCAGAAAAATATGGCCTGGACGTTTCGTGCTCGGGCAGGTAACATTTTGGACTTGGGTAGGTGACGTTTCAAACTCGGGTAGGTGGCGTTTCAGACTTGGGAATAAGTTGAAAGGATAGATTGAACACAACTGTCAAATCAATTTATAATAAACAAAAAGCAATTTTATAGAAAATAACATGCTGGTAAAATTTACCACTCGCAATCAAGTACAGCATGTGGAATCGTGGATCACGCACCATATAGACCTCATAAGGAATAGCAAAATTTCCAGTGTTGAATAGCGTAAACATCTGGTATAACCAAAAAATCTTGGTTTCTTTCGATATTCGGGCAAATCGGATCATAGCTTCCTGAATTATGGGCCCTGATTGTACAAAAAATCACGTTTTTAGCTTGAGGTCACAATTATTATACGATTTAAAAAAGCGTCTGACTATATCATCATTACACCATAATGTAGGTTGATTTTGAATTTCGTGAAATTCGGACCAAAACTGCGGACAAAATAGCTGCCCTTCGTATGCAATCAGTGTAAACATCTGGTATATCAGGGTTGTGGACCCTCTAGAGGTCACAATTTTGATCCGATTTTGATGAAACTTTAATTTCCTTTTGATAATCACACATATCCGAAGTAACTTCCTGGATTATGGCCCCTGATTGTTCGAAAAATCGCATTTTTAGCGTGTGGATTCTCTAGAGGTCACAATTTTTTTTTTCGATTTTAAAAACTGTTTAAATATATCATCATTCCACCATAATGGAGGTTGAATACGAAGGTTGTGCCGCATTGTGGACCCTCTAGAGGTTACAATGTTTATCCGATTTTGATAATACTTATAACATATCTTTATATCCTAAAGATCTCAGTCCCTTTTGATATTTGTGCATTTCAGACCATAACTTTCTGGATTATGGCCCAAGAGTGTACAAAAATCGCTTTTGTTTTTTTAGCCTTTTCTCTATCGATCTCTTGCAAAATGTGGGCGTATCTTGTCTGACAGCCGCTGGGGTTTTTTTTTTAGTGGTCTCAACAGTCACTGATCAATTAAATAAAACGAAAGACAACTATCGGCCTCACATAAAACGGAAAAAAAACCCCAGCTGTTGCAAATATATCACACAAATTTTCACCAGTCTTCTAATTATTCACCTGAGTCTGAAACGTCGTCAGACAAAGTCTGAAACGTTGTCTATTATGTCCAAACTACTCCAAACCGTGGTAAAACTCAGTCCGAAAGGGGGTTCGTCTTGATTCTGAAATGATACAGGACCAAAATGTTGTGGTACTATGTCGTCGATATAGATCACAATCTGAATCAACAGAAATAATTGCATCTAACTTCATGAAAAGTGCATACATGGATTATTTTATTTGATTATAATAATGTCCTATAAATTTGAACATCTGCATGAAGACTCACTGTCACTTAATTTTTTAAAATTTACAAGAAATCTAGGCAAGGTAGGGAATTGTATGCTGTGTAATGGTTACGAGGTGAAAATGAAGGTAACATCATATGATCAGTTCAAAAACATCAATTACTGACATGTAACAGAGTAGAAACAGTCAACTGGACATTTCTTTTCATTGGACTACATTTACACTGTAGCTTCATTTGTCAAGTATAAATTTATAGATATTTTTAACATACATTACGCAAGAACTAAATCTGCCTATAGCAGGTCTTTCTTTAGGGCTGAAATGTTATGTAAACTATAAATTAGACATTTATTAACAAAACAAGACCATAATCAACTCTCAATGGCAACGGATACTTGAAATTTTAACTAGACTAGAATGGTTCTCCATTTAAGAATTTAATTTAAAATGGGAAAGCGAGGCTAAGTCTCGAATATACCAGTGCCGTGGTTACCACAATGCACACATCTTGTCAAAACTACAAACAGTGATAACTTAGTTCAGAATGAAGTAATTTGAATGAAATTTTCATTTTGCATGATCTATTTTTGAGCTACATGTATTACAGCAAAAACGGCCAGCTCTTTATCTAAATCTTACATAATGTATCTTTAAGCTGTTTACATGATGTTACATATTAGGAGATCGGAGAAAAATAAGAAACATCATTAAAAACTAATCAAAATATTTTAATATTTTCTCTTAACAGATGATGGAGATTTCCATGAAGTTTGGGAATCACACTGTCAGAATAAGGAACTGCTGGCAGAATATGCTGATGCAATGCACCAGTTGGCAACAGACCATTGGGAACGGAAGCGAGAAACACGTATTGATTGGTGCTATGAAACAATCATGTCATATTTTCATCATGGTGGATTGAAAAAGATTTTTGAAAAAGAAATTAAAAAGTTAGGCCTGGCGAAGGCAGAATCAAGTGATGCAACAGTAGCATTAGATCAAAGTTCAGATGCATCGTTTGTGCACATGAGGGACACCACTGAGAATCTGAGTCAAAATTCGAGTTCTAACTCAACTAGTTGTGATATGTCGACCGCAAATGCTGTTGTTTTTAATTCTGTCGATTTTGAGGACAGTTCTTGGGAAGAAATTTCTATAAATGTAGTTCCAAGTCTGGATAACAGTGATACTGCTAACCAATCACAAGATAACGCTAAAACGAACCAGACCAGAAGTTTAGATTCCGCTAAAACAAATACGATCAGAAGTTTAGATTCTTCTAAAACAAAGAAGACCAGAAGTTTAGATTCTGCTAAAACAAACAATACCGGCAGTTTAGATTCCCAAGGAAGGATTACCAGTTCTGATGTTCCACATGTTTCTTCATTAATGGATTCTATTCTTCAAGACTGTAATGCCAGTTCCATTAATTCTGAAAGTATTGAAAGTTCAGAGGAATCGGCTGTGCTGATTATTTCTGATACTGAAACTAATAGTGAAAGTTCAAATGGTACCAATAAAGAACAGAATCATACTTCCAATCAACCTTGCCTATTATATAATCAAATGTAAGAATATCATTATCTACTATACATACATGTAGAAAATAAAAAGTATTGTCTGTAAAAATGAAAGGGGGTTGCATGGCTGAAGGATCTAACATGTGCGTCTTAGGTCATAAGACTTGTTATTGTGTCAAGTGGTGTTGTTTCGATGCCACACTTGTACAGAATAAAGAGTATGGTCAGCTGTCTAACTTTATGGGTTTCTCCTGGTCCTCCTGTTTCCTCCAACTACTAAAGACTTCATTACACAAGTGAATTACTGTTTTAAAAATTGCAACAAAATGTTCGTCCTGAAATGACCTAGTTTGTGTTGAGTGGCCATTATACTGAAACCAATTTTTTCTTTCTCTCTCTGTAAAAATGATGACATTCCACAATAGGCATGTGGGATTCCTTGGTAGATCCACAGATATAATAACTGTGGAAATGTGTGAGGTTCCACACTAACCACTAGCTTCTTTGAGTGGAATCTCACTTAAGATACGATGGAACAATAACTCTTGCGTCGGGTTCCCCACAGAGCCAAAAATGGACTTCAATAAAAGTTGAACGTACATGTAATTCGGTAAATGTGTAAACTTCAAACTCTATTTTGACCTAAATAGAAAAAAAAGTTTAGTTCCTTTAACCCCATTTTCTTCATCAAATTCTTGTCACCCAAAAGATTTAATGTTTTGACATATGTAATTAGAGGTAAATAATATAAACTTATTTATTTTTGCCATGAAAATTCCCTGGTGCATTTCATTTCAGATTTTTTTCTTTATATAAAAACATGATCTATAAATCGTGAGCAAATAATGTGGCAATATTTGACAAGAATCAACAATTGATGCGATACCTACATTTCATTCTATTAGACAATTAAACATTAGAGACATTAATATATTTTGTTGACATTATCTGTTAATCAGAGAGTTTAAAATATTTGTCATCAAATTTAGGCAAACTATGTACTCATTAAACAAGGCTGAAAAGATGAGGGGATTTTTTGTTTATCATCGTTTTAATAGTATTATTATGGAAACACCTGCATCAACATATAATGTTAGTTTGGCTTTGTAAAGTATTGTTGTTTTTCACGTATAACGATTTACAAACAGGGTGGATGGTTTGTTTACCTCAAAGTAAAATAATCATCGGTTGTCAAATATACTTCACCTTATTTTTCTGTAAACTACGTGTAGTCACTGAATTTGTTGTATGAATGCACTTCATATTTACAAGTCAAGTGTATTTAAGGTTTTAATTGAAATGAGAGATACCATCCATATTATCAGTCGACATATATTTATAATGGCTAGTAACATCTTCACATTGTCAAGTATGACAAATAGTATGATATATTTATTCTTGACATGTGTTCAGCTGTTAATTTGAAACTTTAATACAAATTCAATATAATATGAGGTATGGCGTACTATCTTTGTGTGTAAAATCTTTTCGGGGCAAAAAAAAACGGGGGTAGAGACTTTCAGGGGGCTTGTACAGGATGGTTAGGGGTCTCAGCTCCCAATTTTTTTAGTTAAACATACATTATGCAAGAGCTAAATCTGTCTATTGCAGGTCTTTCTTTAGGCCTGAAATGTTATCTAAATTATTAATTAGACATTATTTAACCTAACCTATTTCGTTTCGTTTTTTTATACTTTCGATGGCCCACACTACATGAAGATCTGAAAAGTTATAGCGATAGGTCACGTCAGGGGTCAAAAGACCGACTTATGACCCTATGATGTCAGACATTTGATTAACCAATCAGCATTGATGTTACTAGTGGATTACCCACAGTTCCAAGCAAAACACGCTTAAAGCTCGCCGTGACAGGCCGTTTCATTGGCTTATGCCTGACACCATTCAGAGCATGAGTTAAATAACAACTCTTCCAGATCCAAGTGTAGTAAAGACAAGTAAAAACAAAATTTTGAACTATAAAATCGAAACGAAATAGGATCTGTGTTTTAACCAGATTGAGCCGATTTACTGCTTAACTTTCTTTCACGATTTAACAATTATATGGATAATCAAGACTATGCTGTTTATTGTACTGTCTTAAGTAATGATGATCAAGGCTAGGCGGAAATTTCAATCGCTTAGTTCTCGGTTCATAATGGATCAATTTGAATGAATTCGTAGGCCGGGTTTTATCCAGTTCTTCACAAAGTGTCACTATGGGAATGCTTGATTGCCAGTCCCGAATGTCTGGAATGGACAGAATTGTAATCGAGTGACGCTGAATTCAGTCATTTCACAGTTCTGTCAGTCAAGAAAAAGGAGATGGTGTGAGTAGAATCGTGACGCAGCTAAACCCAACAAATATGTTTCAGCTGTCATGGTTGATTACAGTCTCAAATCTCCCTTTTCACTCGATTGTCCCTATTTTTGGGATTGTGTAAATTTAATTCCGGAACGCTCAATCGAGTATACTCTAAGAAATCGATGACAGGGTTAAGGCCAAGCAGGAAAACCCCATTAAGAACAGTTTATAGAAGGGAAAATCCAAACAATTATGTTGAATATACATGCATGGCTGTCACACAAAGTGTATGTCTCTTCTGTTTGTCTGTTCCAAGTTCTAAAACACTGACTGATGGAGAAGTTTTCAGCCAGAAAACCAAGAATTAAGATAGTCAAAGCACTCTGTGAACATCATACCTGTATATGCAGTGTGAATGAGTGCAGACAATTAAAGTATGTCTTTGCCATTATAAATTAATGATAACGGAAAAGAAAGCTTGTATTGGGATAGACAAAACAGAGGGTATTTTCTTAAAATTACATTGTGTAATCACTTTTTTTATGGTTTCTAACGGTATTCAAACATTTATTTAGAAAATTGGAATTCCCTCATAGCACACTGCATGGTGTATGTCTTCATTAATGCAAAAAAATGGATGTTGAACCCGCTTTCATTTCATTTTTGGTGTGTATTGATTTGATTTATCTCTACATTTTGGGCGTGTATTGATTCTATTTATCTCCACATTTTGGGTGTGTATTGATTCTATTTATCTCCTTATTTTGAACCAGTATTGATACATTATATTTATCTCCACATTTTCTTCAGAACTCTTCCATTTAAAGGCAAAATCCGTCTGCTAGATGTGGGTAGCTGCTACAATCCTTTTATTGAGTTTGATGAGATACATGCTGTTGGTATTGATATCAGTCCAGCTAAACCAGTAGGTTATTCATCTTATCCTTCACAAAATCTCTCAATATAGAGTGTCTAGTCATTCGGATGGGACAAAAAACTCAGGTTCTGTGCATGTAAAAGAATCCTTGACAGTTGGAATTCGATATAAGAGTAGGCCATATTGGTAAATATGAACATATGGATCTCTTTATGATTAGGAGAGCTGTATAATTGTAAGAGGTTTTTGCTTGAAAATTAAGGGGGTTTTGTTTGAAAATTATTATAATTTTTTGCATGAAAATTATGTTTTTTTTGCTCGAAAATGACTATTTACATGGCCCATTTGCTTGGAAGAAGCATACCTTTGGTGGTAAAAAGGTGTGTGTGGTCACTTTAGCACTGCTCAATCCATGCCACCATTGAACAAAAAGACTACACATCTGTTAGTCACTGGTTCCCAAGCACTACTCAGACTTATCTTGTTGTTCTTCTTGCAAGCGACACCCTTTGTAAAATGCCCAAGACTCCATCTATCTTGGCATGCTTGTTCCTTGGACAATTGCACATTGATTGATTTACATTAATTTTTGATAGGATGTCACAATTCCAAGATGGCTGTGATGACACCATGCTCGGTTCCTGACAAGGACAGTGTTTAGTTGTAGTCATACAGAAACTGAGGTCCTGTATACACACTGGCATGCACGTAAAACAACCCTTGATAGTTGGAATTCTCTGTCAGGGCAATTTTCCCTCATGGCATATTGTATGGTGAAAGCAAGTCTCCATTAGCCCAGCTGGTGCAGATATTAAACCCCATTTCATTTCAGTTGATAAATATTACCGAACTAAGATATATGTATTGCATACCTGTATATTTATTGTTATTTCAGAGTGTTTATCATTGTGATTTCCTCAATCTAGAAACATCGGAACCACTACAGTTGGCTGCCGATACCCTGGATACTTATATCAGTGGTTTAAAAGATCCAATCGAAAAACTTCCACGGGATATTTTCCACGTCTGTGTATTTTCATTACTGTTAGAGTATTTTCCGTCACATTATCAACGTTGGATGTGTTGTCAAAAAGCGTGGGAGCTGCTTGTTTTGAATGGAATTTTAATCATTATAACCCCGGACTCGCACGGCCAGCATCGAAATGCCCCGATGATCAAAAGCTGGAAAATGGCCATTGAATCAATGGGTTTTAAGAGATGGCGTTACGTGAAGAAAGAACACATACATTGTATGGCATTTAGGAAAGTTGAAAAACCAGAAAAAAATGATTGTCTTATTAGTGATGTTACCCCAGATCTTATGTACATTCCTCAAGATTATAAAAACTCGGAATATGGTGAATCGTTTAAACCTTATGCACCTTTTACTGTCGAGGACGAGGAATTCTTTCGAGCGACTATGCAAGAATTGCCCGTTTATCCTTCTGATGACGACAGTATTGAGACCAGTGAGGAATATATTCAATAATTATTCCATTCATCATTTTTTTTCATTATTTTATTTATGTCCAATCTAATTAAAACACAGATCCTATTTCGTTTTCCTTATTATAATTCAATATTTTGTTTTACTTGTTTACCCTACACCAGGATCTGATGTGATGTTAAGTTGAGTTGCTATTAGGTCATGTACAGAAAAAAAATGTATTTTCGAATAGTTACTTGGAACACTGACCCTGATTGGTTAATTAAATGACTGACATCATATGGTCAAAAGTAGCTTATCCTGACGTGACCTCTGAAATAACTGATCAGATCTTCATACAGTAGAGGCCATCGAAAGTATAAAAGTAGGAGTGTAAATATAGATCTGTATTTTAATCAAATTTATCTGTGTCATACATGGATAAAGTAGATTGAAGAAAGCTCCAACCCCTCGGGCCTCTTTTTCATAATCCGTCTAATACCGGTAGGAGAAAAAAAAGAATTTTGTACATTGTTTTAAGATTTCAACATATCAACTCTGACAACTGCTGTACATGTATTTTTTTTTTATATAGAAAAATAACAAATTGTACTTTATGTGGTTTTAAAGTGGCATAGTACTTAGATGTAGATTTACAGAGATAAAATGATTGTTTGGAATTTTCAAAATATCAACCCTGACAAATGCTGAAAATCTTTTTTATATATACAGAAAAATTACAAATTATAATTCTTGTGGTTTTAAATTGGCATAAGTACTTAGATAAAAAAAAAAAAAAGAATCTGTCATAGTGCATAAAAATGTGGGCTTACCAACTGTAATCTGCATTTTATTTCTGTGCATGGATCAAACATAAGGGGAAGAGTAGGCCTATCTGAGACTGTTGACATATTGTATGTGGACATTAGATTTTTTTGGTGCAAGCTCTTCAGAATCAGTTTAATGCTGGAATCAGTAGATGTACACTTTGTTTTGAAACCTATTTTAAAATATTTTTATATCAGGCCATAGAAAAAATTTCTGGTTCTCAGATATCGCTGTGTGGCTTAAGAGGGTCTGCTTGGCCTGTTTTTATTTGAAAAATTAAAGATGAAAAAAATCCTTATTGATGACCTCGTGTTGATGTGACTCATTAACTGCTTAATTTTTAAAGATGTTTAGGTCCAATCTGTAGTGGATGACAATTGTCCTGTGAATTACGCCTAGGAGAACGAAATGTCTGAAATTATACTCATTGGGAGATGGGAGAAGCAAAATTCATATTGGATAAAAAAATCTGTGCTTTCGTCACTTTACCCAGACAAAAATTTAAGAATTAGTATATTCCTGTAAACATTATGAATAAACAGATGATGATATAAATTTAGTACCTTGGAATGTGATGTTTGTGATCAAACATTAAGTTATACGTAATTTGATCAAATTTAAACATAAAAATAAACACATCCCTTCCACATCAGATTTGTCTGAGAACCTGATTTTCTTTTTAGAAGGGCCTTTATAATGCCTTTATGGTTGTGTTAAAGATATAGTTTTTGTTATATATTAATTTTATTGTATGTTTTTATTTTAATCTGCTTTGTGTGAATATTACTGTACTGCTGATCCCCGGTGCCACCTCAATATTATGAAATTATCGAAATATGAAAATTAGTACATTTTATCTTAAGGCCAAACCAATTTTGCTTCAGGAACAAATATATTTGGCTGCTTTTCTCAAATATTTTTTTAAGTCCAAATATTTAACTTTTGAAACAGAAAATTAAATAGGTTTGGCCATTATGTATTTCTTTAAAACATGTAGTTTGAACACACACATCCTGTTGGGTAGCAGTAATATTTACACATGTTTATACAATGTACCTTAATTCAGCGTGCTTGTTTTTTATACTCTAATTAATTTTATTATAATGAATTTGATATTTGACACATGTAAATTGATTATGTGGTACTTGGAAATAGGGTTTTAAAACAGTGGTTCCTTTAATTCTATCTATTAACAACTAATAGATCACCAACTTAAAAGGGTATTATGCAACAGTAAATCTGCCTATTGCAGGTCTTTCTTTAGGGGTAAAATGTTATCTAAATTATTAATTAGACATTAATTAACTTACCAAGACTATAATAAACCCTCGATATTTAGTAGATTTGAATATGTTTCGCGGTTGGTGAAATAACTGTAAAATGCATAATCAAGACTTTTATTATCGTAACAACGCTAGCAATCGAGGCTACAGTGTTAGTGTATCACTGATAACAGGCTCAGAGTGAAGTAATTTAACTGTAATCTTCAACATGTCCCCATTTCATTATCTATTTTTGTACACCCACATTTTCATTAAGACATATAATATGATCGCTCCTGTCTATCCTTGTTCCCTGACAAGGACAGCTGTCTAGTCCTTTGGATGAGACGAAAAACCGAGGTCCCGTGTATACATTGGAATGCACGTAAAAGATCCCTTGGCAGTTGGAATTCGATATAAGAGTAGGCGATAGTGCCGCTGCCCGGGCAAAATTTCCCTCATAGCACACTGTATGGCGTATGCCCGTCTTCATTAGCCCAGTATAGGAGCAGAACAGTAGGACGTTAAACCCCATTTCATTTCATTTCATTTCCATCTGTTCACATTTGTTTGTGGACACTTTACAGGTTACAATTTTATCCGATTGTGATGAAACTTGAAATATAGGTCTGACTCCCAAAGATCTTGATTCCTTTTGATATTTGCATGGCCCCTGATTGTACAAAAAATCATGTTTTTAGCTTGTGAAAACTCTAGAGGTCACAATTTTCATCTGATTTTGATGAAACTTGAAATGCATGTTAATAACCCACAGATCTTGGTGCCTTTCGATATTCGCATAATCGGATCGTAAATTCCGGAATTATGGCCCCTAATTGTATGAAAAATCACATTTGTTTGTGGACACTCTACAGGTCACAATTATTATCTGATTTAAAAAACGTTTTAATATATCACCGTTACATCGTAATATCGGTTGAGTTCGAATTTCCTGAAAATCTGACCAAAAACGGCCGCCCCTTGTAAGCAAATAGTGTAACTATATGGTATATCAAGGATGTGGACCCTTGTAAAAATATGGTATATCATGGTTATGAAAACTCTATAGGTCAAAATTTTGATCTGATTTTTATGAAACTTGAAATACATGTCTATAACTCAAAGATCTTGGTTCCTTTCGATATTCGCGCATATCGGATTTTAACTTTCTTAATGGTCCTTGATTATACGAAAAATCGTGTTTTTAGCTTGGGGTCCCTCTAGAGGTCACAATTATTATCCGATTTTAAAACTGTTTAAATATATCACCATTCCACCATAATGAAGGTTGAATTCGAATTTCGAGAAAATCGAAACGAAACTCCCCAACAAAATGGCAGCTGCATGCAAATTGTGTAAAAGTATGTAATGTGAAGGTTGTGGATCCTCTAGAGGTCACAATTTTTATCCGACTATGGCCCCTGATTGTACGAAAAATCAGTTTTGTTTTTAGCTTGTTCTCTATCCATCTCTTCAAAATGTGGGCGTATCTTGCCTGGCAACCGCTGATTTAACTATTATAGCAAGAACTGTCAGCTCTTTATCTAATCTTACCTAATGCCCCTTTAATAACTAGAAATATGATTTTAAAGGAGTGGTTTCTTTTATTCCATTTGTTAAAGATGGGTTCCCAGAAAAGTATTTATCGGGTGGTTATTTCCAATAAATGTATGGCAATTTTGGTATATATGGAAAGTAGAGATATCCAATCTTACTAGAAAAATACTGGATTCCCCGAAAAACATTCATGGAGCGTATACAGGACAAAAATGTAAGGGTTCCCCTAATCGACGGGCTGTTGATTAGGAACATTGAGCGCTTGATGTACAAGTTGATAAACTTTATGAAGAGTTAGACGTACAATACTTTCTGAGATAAAAATGACGGAAAAAGACGCGGGTAGTGGATAATTCGAGAATTTAATTAGAATTCGATATTTGTAATAAATAGTGAGCGATTAAAGACAACATCGTCTTATGTATGCAATGAATTCTCCTCTGACTCCCAAGACGTGACGTAAACATGACCTGGTTTGATCGAATTTTAATAGCAGGGCATTCCTTCGCAATTACAATGTTTGAGAAGGATTTGAAGCATAATTATGACAAATTAATTAGTTTGAATATGTTTTTGGTCCATATATACCATTAAATCACCAAGTTTGTACGCGGGAACCCATCTTTAACAATTAATAGATCACTAACTTAAAAACTAGATTTATGATTTTAAAGGAATGGTTTCTTTAATTCTATTTATAAATACATAGGCTAAGCCTGTTCCCCAATCCCATTCAGACATCCTGAATAAAGATATTGTTTATTAAAAAAAATAATAAATAATTAATAGATCACTAGCTTAAAATACTTTTATCAAATTTCTAGTTATGACCTCACGAGCCCCGCTCTCAGATAAAGAAAACATGTGACCAGGATTTTGCTCCAGAGAGAATCCTTGTCCCTTTGTTATGTCAACAAAAGCCCTCAATGCAATTTTGTTTCTTTCATCAGCACATGCTATCATGTTACTGTCAGTGTTAAACATATATTTCCTGCCCTATCATACTCTCTATCAAGCCCACATAATCTGTTAGGCCGTAAACACATCTAAATTGTACTATATACAGTAACATCATTTTAACTAGCATTTCTTCAGCTTTTCATCTATATATTTTTATACGCCCACATGGAAATGTGGTTGTATAGTGCCGTCGACCCCGTCCGTCTGTCAGTCCGTCCGTTGTCCACACTTTCTTGTTAACACTCCACAGACTCATCCGATTGATTTGAAATTGAAATTTGTTGTTTACATTAGTGAGATGAAGAATCCTATTCAATTTCCGTTAATTTCTTCTTGAGTAGTTATGGCCCTTGTTTCACTTTGTTGAAACTTGTGAATGCTCCAGATAACAGTTAATCATGCCATGGGTTGTTGCCCTTGATCAGTTTTTATTGTCTTGTTAATGCTGACATAACCTACAAAAGAATATATATTTGAAAGTCTCTATAGACCTCTTGGAAACTTAACTGTTATGGATGTATGTTTTATTACCGCCAACCTATCTTTCTTGTCATTATAGTTTTTTTGGTATGTAAATAATGGAATAAAAGGGCAATATAGATGATAGTAAGGTAATAACAAATTTGTGTTGAAAAGGATGATTGTGGCATGAAGATTAACTTAAAATGACTAGATCTTTTCTCATAACTATCAAAATACCATACCAGATCAACCCAATTCAGTACTTAGTTGTTACAAGATTTAATAATTTGGCTCCTTTAAGCCACTTTAGGCATTCTTATTATTAATGTATATTTTTGAAAATGATTATCCTAGCATTTATACAAGGGGATTACAATAAGTTGTGGGCATTCATAGTCTTATTTTAACAATTTGCAATATATACCTACTGTTACTGAATGGGTGGTTATCCCCCTCCCCACCAACCTCTTGTATTCTATCTTTTTATAGTGGAATACTACTTGGGGTCACAAAACGTGAAAGTTTCCCCGGTCCCTCTAGTCTATATAAATTATATATTAGGTCATCACATCTTATATGGAAAAATCCAAATGTTGATACCAGTGAATGTGTATACTAATAATTGATATACATTTTATTTAAATATAATAAAAACATACTAAAGAAATCGTGTTTTGTTTATCAGTGCCGGATTTAGATGAAGAGAGGCCCTAGGCTATTTCACAAGGCACCGCAAGATCGCCTACCCTCATGACTTAAGGAAGACGAAATTGTGTTTTAAACACATTGATAAAAGCCAAGGATCAGAGGCGGATTTAATGGGGGGGCCCTTTTTTACTGCTGAAAGTGCCGTTTCTCAGACTCAAATATATCCGTTCCCAACCCGTCGTAGGGATCCCAAATGACTCAAACCATCGACTCAAACACACCAGTCTGGGAAATAGCTCTTGGAATGGCTACAGATGCAAGGAAATGACGGATAATTTTCTTGCGGACCCCCCAGCGGCGTGCGCCGTCTCCGCGGTCAATGCCTTCATTTTGCAGCGCCCCCCCTTTTCAAAATTCCTAGATCCGCCCCTGAGGATGATGATGTATGGTGAAGACTGCAGTGTGTGTATAAAAAAGGCTTATTGCATTGTCAAAAATTATACGCACCTTGGCCGGAGGACCCCTAGATCCAGGGTTCTCAAATGTGCAGTTGGTTGATACTTTCGACAGGGTCGCCCAGTTGCCATTGGGTTGCGACTGATTTTGAGTTTCAATGTCTGTTTGTGCAGGGATGTGATGAGGTGAATCGGCTTTCTGCAGTTATTTCTTCTTAAATGCTCGCAAAACGCGTTTCTGGCGGTCAACTTTGGGGTTGTGGGAACCACTGCCCGGCTAAGTCTACAGGTAAATCCTGCACTCCCTGTGTGTATATCTTTTTTTGAAACACTTCTTTATGCTAGCGAAGACACATAGACTTCCAAACTGAAGACTAGACGAAATCTGTTTATAGAAATAACAAAACAAGTTACCAGGTCGCTAACAGATGGAATGGAAATTATAATATTAGTTGTTATACGTCACATGAACATGTTGACGTATTATGCCGTCGCATGTCACAGCCCGGGCGTCTGTCCATCCACAATTTCTTTGTGGACACTCTACAGGTCACAATTTTTTTCCAATTTTGACGAAATTGGATATATAGATCTATCTCCAAAAGATCTAGATTCCTTTCGGCGTGGGGAGGGGGGGGGGGTCGAAACAGGACGACATATCCGATGATTAATTTGGATATGTCGAAAGGGGTTTATATAAGCTCCAATCCCCTCAGTTTCTGAAAAAATATATAAGTTTAGACACGCTGTGTCTTGCTTCTGTCTTAGTAACGTTTCTTGCTCTGGTTACAAAATAAGAAATGAAATGGGCTTTAACGTCGTCCTATATTTCTGTACAAAGAGGGCTATTCAGGTGATGGGGGTGAGTGGGGTTTTAACGTCCTACTTTTCTCCCGCAACAGGGTTAATGAGATGAAATGTGGGGTTTAACATCCTACGTTACTGAACCAACAATGTTAATGAGATGAAATGTGGGTTTAACATCCCACATTACTGAACCAACAGGGTTAATGAGATAAAACGTGGGGTTTAACACCCTACACCACTGAACCAACAGGGTTAATGAGATGAAATGTGAGGTTTAACAGCCTACATTACTGAACAAACAGGGCTAATTAGATGAAATGGGATTTAACGTCGCACAGTCCTGTATACGCCTTATAAGCGTGCTATAAGGGAAATAGAGTTTCCGCCCCTCTTCATCGAATCACAACCGTGAATAGTTCTTACCGTGAACCGTCCCTCACCCCTCGCCATCGACGTGAACGTCTACACTTTGTCCAACAACACCAGAACTGGCGACATAGGCAATGGATAACTGTTCTGTTCACAGATGAGAGTCGGTATTGCATATCAACTGCAAATGGCAGGACCAGAATGTGGCATCAACGTGGCCAGCGTTATTCTGACCAATGTGACATTTGGGAGGTCCAAGCACAATGGCTTGGGGTGGAATCGGCTTGAACCAGAGAGTGGGTTCCAAAATCTTGGTCCAGGGAGTGGAGGCGGCATCACAGCAGGGCGCTACATCAATCAAGCTCTCAGACCCCACGTCATACCACATTTCGCACGTCATCGAAACAACGTTTTCCAGCATGACAACGCCCGTGCCCACACCGCCGGAGTTACTCAGGATTTTCTACAGCAGAACGGTGTCAACGTTATGCACTGGCCAGCCCTTAGTCCGGACTTAAACCCCATTGAACATCTTTGGGATGAAATTCACAGGAGACTTAACGTCGTACCGAGACCAAACAACGTGACCATATCAGTATGGCAACCAAAGTCACTCGCCAATCATATATGAGCCCCCCCCCCCCCCAAATGACCAGGTGCCTCATAATGAATCACACGATTAACACCACAACGTGATTGATGCGGCGTCCAAAGCCGCAAGCGGCGTGATCTGCGGGGTGAGTTTTCCCGGAGGGGCGCCCATAATGACATGATTGGTGGGGCGCCTTATAATGACAATACATGTATATGATTGTCGGGCCGCACATAATGCATAATGCCGAGTGAGATTGGCTGGGCGCCCACGACTTGATCAATGGGGCGCCCAAAACGGCATGATTGGTGGGATGCCTCATCCCGGAGGGCCGCCCATAATGCCAACATTGGTGGGCCGCCCACGCTTAGATCATGGGCGCCCAACCAAGTAACCGACCACATACCGACGCCCGAAGAAATCTACCATAAGAAAGTCAACTAGAGATTGTAGGAAATTTTCAAGGTCAAATTCACGAAGCGGATGAGATAGATTCAAGCCCGTACCAGGCGTGATGATCTCAAAATTTAAACAAGTCGCACTCTAACACGATTCCGAACATTTCGTTTTCTCTTAAATTATTATAGGTACGCTAAAGTCGTATTCCTTCCTTCAAATTTTTATAATGTTCATATCAAAATACCATAATACGCCAATATCTCAAATTCAGTCTCAAACTTGAAATTTTCCGTCATTTTCATAGTTCCTCTCCTCAGGTGCAATCCCTATTTTGCAAAATTTTCTGGTGGGGGGGGGGAGCAACTAGACCCTTCTGTAAAGGGAGGCACTTCCACGATAACGTTCGCCGTGGACCGTCAAGTGTAGGTACACCTGCGCCACTATAATAATACAATGATTAATATTATTATTATTATTATTTATTGTACATATATGTAAGTTATTTATATCATGGGTTCAGCAGCAACGTTTGCACCATGGAAACCTAGGCACAGGATATAACTCTGTGATGCCCCCCCCCCCCCCCAACACCCCGCGCATTTACATTTGTGCCCTTAATGCTCAATCCTGGGCTTGACTTGCATTCATGATCCTTGACAATAATTAATTTAATAAAAGTATTGAATAAACACGTAGATATAGATCAAAATGATTGAAAGATTGGGATATAGCACTTATTATACCTTTCTATAAATAACGTTCAACAAAATATATTATATTCTGTCACGATGCAGCTGAATGGTGTGGTATTGTAAAGTGGAAATTTCATTCAATAACATTAGCAAAGTACAGAAACGTAAGAATGCATGTATATTATATAACCCTAAGGCTAGTGGGTTTGTAGCTACCTTTTCGTGGCTACGCTAAGCAGGAATTCCCATGTTCATTTTTCATAGACAGATGACTGGCGGACCGTCAGAAATTTCTGTTGAAAAACTGTCGACTAGTCAGTGTTTAGTAGCTCGGATGGGACGAAAAATCAGTGTTCAGCGAACCATTGACAATTGGTATGCGAAATAGGAGTAGACCGTAAAGTCCACTTCACACATGAAGACCTTACTACCAAACCCCCTCAAGTGTGACGGCAACTGTGCGCTCAGAAATGGTCACTCTTTTCCACGTTCTCAACACGCGTACACCATGCCCCACACGTCCCTGCAATGCTCTTGCCACGCTTCCTCTACACCTGCACGACACCCAGCCACGTCACCACCACGTTCAGCCACATTGCCGCCGAGTCCTTGCAACGATGTTAGAACGACCGGATTTTGGCACAAATTAGGAGATATTGAGCCCCGTCCATCAGTTCCAGCCTTGCAGAGCTAAAAAAAATAACTTTACACATGCACAACGACCTCACGGGGTAGGCCACGACTTCACTCCGCGGGATTAGAACATGCGCCATACCCGCGTGACGAAGTCGTAGCCGAAAAACGTGTCGAGAGCATCGTTAAAGCGGGGACAGCGTTGTGACAGCGGAGGAGCTTATCGGCAGCGTAGGGCTCGTATCAGTGAGCGTGCCTCGATTGGCAAGAAATTGACCACGCACCCATTACGCTCCCACCGCGACCTCAAAACGCGCCCAGTACGCTCAGCCCGCTCTTAGTCACGTTCTATAGAATTTTTGCGCGCGGTGAGCGCGTTGTAAAGACTTCGTTATGTGTGATGCGGGCTTTACAAAAAAAACTAAGGAATGTGACGAAAGCGTAGTGTGGCGAGAGGGCGCGGCGGGGTCTTTGTCATCTGGGCCCTGGGACAAGCAAATCGGTGAGGGGGTGGGAGTCTCCCACCGGGCTCGAAAATGTTTGAAAACTACATAGTCTCTATAGCGTCATTTTGGCATATATCTGGGGTAATTGAAGGTCACTTTGCTAAAACACAGAAACTTAGATTGAACACAACAACCAAATACATCAAAAACGGGCAAACCCAAAACAAACTTCACATCATACTAAAAATGTTCCCAAATATTTTTGGTGGAAAGGAGTTAAATTGCGTTATATGCACGGGTCGTGGCCCCACGACGCGAAGGCCCGGGCAGGTGGCTTATAGTTTTTAATTCACCAATTTTTCCCAAAAAAGTGCACTGACAGAATTCGATTCTAATCCTACCCACGCCACTAGGTACCCACATTCAGAAAAGTCACCGATCAAGTAACAGTTTAATTTTGTTATTTAATTTATACCAACAATTGTTTTTTAAAACATTACTCGGCTAAACCTCTGGGATCTCTATAATAGGCTCCGGGTCCCTGGACAAGTGTCCCAGCTGTCCCCCTCTTTCATGGGCCCTGCTAAGAGCGTGACCACGGGCGTTCTCCCCGCTCTCGG